AATTATCGGGTTGGTTTTTTGGTTGTTGTTTAATTTCCCAAGTTTGTCCGGGTCCCGGGGGGGGGGGGGGGGGGGCATCGCGACAGCATCAGATATCGCGTCTTATAATTTTTGCTTGGAAGGAACTAATGAGCGCGACCCTGGCTCAAGGGCAAAGTAGCCCAGAAATTCAAATGAGAAATAAGCGGAGACTCCGATATAACCCAGCGATTCTTCATGTCGAACATGGCATGGTCGTGGCGCAGCACCCAGACTCCATATCAGCGATCGTTTGAGATGCCAGCACATGCCGTGAGGAGCGAAAAATTCCAAGGAAAATGGCCTGGTTCCCTCCAGACCGTTCAAGTTTTCATAGTTCGAAAGAAACAGAATCGCCAGGAAAGGAAGGAGTCAACTAATTCACCTCGAAAAAGAGGAGGTCGACCAGCAGCAGCGACACCAGGGCAGTCGCCTTTGTCTCCACCTGCAGGAACACGCGCACCAAGGGTTTCAGGAAGAAGGCGTTTTCGGCACGAGGTAAGGCCAGGGTCCATGTCCAGGCAGGCAGTAACGGAGGGCGGTTGTGAACAAAAACAGGAAAATGCACAAAAATAAAACATCCATCCCAGAACCCGTGAACAAAAGCTACCTGTCTCCTGCTACAGAGGCGACGTTTTAACATAGGCAGGGACAACGAACCAAACAATTAGAGCCATCCCAGAACTCATGGGACGTAAGCTATCGCCACCCTCCCACCGCCAAAAAAAAAAAGGCGCGATCCTTGCCTTGAGATCTTGTGGGAAGCTGATGGTGAACTTGTCGGCGTCCGTGGCGATTTCCTTCGCTATGTCGGCCAGGCTGCTCGGGGCTAGCTTCTTCACCTCCCCCACCTGAACACATCAAAAAGAAGGGGCGATCGATAAGATCCTCCATCACACAAACTCACGCGTACGTGCGTGCGTGCGTGCCGCACGGGTCGTTCACATCCAAAAAAAAAAACGCATGTACATCCCAGTCGCGCCCCCCCCCCCCCCCCCCGCCCGGGGGTTTTAAAAGAAATTTCCGTTTTTTTTCCCCCTGGAAACGAAGGCCCTTGGTTTTCTCCAACACCGGCCCCCGGGGGGCCGGCTCCCGGGGGGCCGGGGAAAAAAAAAAGCCACCCTGGGGGGGGGGGCCCAAATTGGGAAACCCTCAAAAAACCCGCCCGCCTGGGGGGGAGGACGGAAACCAAAAGGGGGGGCAAAAAAAAAAAAAACGGAAGGGACGAAAAAACGGGGGGGAAAAGGGGTGGGGCCAAAAATTTTTCGGGCCCCGCCTGGCGGTGAAAAAACCGAACAAAGCGGAAACAGGGGACGGGGGGAAAAAACGGGTGAAAAAAAACGGGTTTCCGGTTTGGGGAAAAGGGGTCCAAAAAAAAGGGGGGAGCGGGCTAATGGGAACAAACTTCTGGATACCAAAAAATTGCGTTTTTCAAAAAACGTTATTATACCGGGTTGCATGAGTGCATTGCCCCGAGGGGTTCACGCCCCCCCCCCCCCCCCCAAGCTTAACCCTCTTTTTGGTGGTCCGGAGCCCATTCAAACCCCCCCCCCAACAATCCCCCAAGAAGGCCGGGCCCCTTAAGAACAAATCCCCGGCCCCCTTTCCGGTGAAGAAGTTTAACTTTGGGGGGGAACAACCCCCCCAACACCAATGGGTGAACCCCCCCAAAAACCTTCCCTCCCCCCTGGGGCCCTGGAAAAACCCCCCCTTTTTCCGGGCCGGGTTCAAACCCGGGCCCGGGAAAAACCCGAAATGTTCCTTGGAAGGCCAGAACTTTTTCGGC